TATATGTGCTCTGTGTATGCATGTGTACCTGTCCTCGTGGTTTTATGCACCCCGCAAAAGTTAGCAAAATTTCATCATTTTTTGCATAATTTCTGATTATTTTCCTTTATCATTCTTTGTTAAAGTTAACAGAATCGCATAATTTCACATTTTTGGGCTCAGTTCGCATAATTTCAGAATTTTTCTTGCACAAAACGATGGGGACATGTCTACGAATGTGTATATATGTGTGCGCGTGTGTGTGGCTCTGTGTGTGTCTGTGTTAGTGTGTGTGCGTATGTGTGTGTGACAATGTGTGCGTGTGAGTGCGTGTGTGTGTATGTGAGTGAATGTATTATATTATATGTGTGTATGTATGTGTGTGTGTATGTATGTGCGTGAATATTTGTGTGTGTATAGTATAGTGTGTGTGCGTTTTTATGTATGTGTATGCATGTGTGTGTATGTAATTGTATGTATTTATGTGTTTAACTGTGTGTCTATGTGTGTATGCATATGTCTGTGTGTGCGTGTGTCTGTGCGTGTTTGTTTGAACTCCTACTTTATGTCGACAGACCACAACCCTCTCTCTGCCCGAATACACACCTCACGCTGTGCGCACACCGGGCGCTGTGGTCAGGGAAACGACAGTCCTGTCGACCAGATCAGAGGGCAAAGGCGACGATATCTCGGGTTTGACAAGTGACCTTGAAGAGGACTACACTTTGGAGGTTAAGGTCACCTTCCCACAGTAACAAGAAATGTGATGTCAACATTTTACGCTCCCATTGACATCATTGAAATCATTTAGGAGGAAGGCGGCTTTGACACATCTGTTTGAGGAGCGGAAGAATCACCTTAGTGCTACACTACAGACGCTTTTCTTCCCATAGTGGTGTGGTAACCATAGCAACCACTTAGAAGGTAGGTGTGGGATGTGTATACATTATGCATGTTTATATTATTTATATATCTATATCTATATCTATATATATATACAGAGAGAGAGAGAGACAGAGAGAGAGAGA